ATACGGGGTAAAAATAACCCACTTGAATCAAACTGTGAAATATGATATATTAAGAACTGTGTAATATTTTGAACTACCAACAATTAAAAAAAACTCAAAAAAAAAAAGTTGGAAAGCGAATTTACTAGCACAGTGGTTAAACACCATGTGCTTAATCTTGTTTGATGTGAGTACATCTCACATGACTTGAGGATTTTTTTCAACAATGTTTATCTGCTTAGAGAATGTGAGAAGTAAAAGAATATTTGGGTTTCACCTGAGCTGAGGTTAGCAGAGATGTAAAACAGAGGGAAAGGCAGGCAAAGGGAATTAAGGAACTTAGTTTAGGCATAGACACCTGAACTATAAAATCTAGGTTGAATAATGAGAAAAGAGTGGGCATGAAAATGCTAACACCTAATAAGTAAGTAATAAGAAAAGGGACATTGTGATGAGGTTAATGAATTATGAGAAGTATCCAGGTTAAGGAGTTGGAAGGATGGAATTGAGGGTCAGAATTCATATTTAAGAAGCAGTGCTATTAATGGTGATGACAAGATGAAGTACATGATTATGTGAATATATGCCTAAAGAAAAAAGAAAAAAGATGCTGGTTTAGAAAAAGCTCAAGAAACTGAGACTGCCAGGTGTAGTGCTGGAAGGCTGAGACAGAAAGATCATAAGTTCAAGGCCAATAAGAGCAAAATAAGGAAACCCTGTCTCAGAGAGCTAAGGGAATTTCTGTTTGAAAGCTTTCCTACCTTTTTTCTAAAACGAAGGAGGGATATCAGTTGCCAAGAATAAACAGTTGAGAAGGAGGTTAATGTGGGAAGGTTCAAACTCTAGCAAAACACACACACACACACACATTTCTGAAGAGATGAATGAATCAGTCAATATATTTCTGTCTGCCTTAATGGCATCTAGGTTACAAATCATTCTTAACTTTATCACCACCACCATATTGTTATGATTACAACTTTTAGTGACAAGCCAATGATAAGAATAGCAGAAAAATGGCAATGAATTGGCAAGGGTTAATTCCCAAGGTAGGGGATTTTCCTATTTGTGAATTTCCCTGAATTAAGGAGCCACTTAACTAAGACAATATAACGTTTGCCTCATCGTGTTAATGGAAAATGAATATACACATTATTTACTTTACCTTGCATCTACTCCATCAAATACTTTCTGACACTCATTACCAATGACTTCTTGCTTTAGATAATATAGCATTCTTACACGAAGCAAAACCCTGAAAACAAGAGAAAATAAAAAGGAACAAAGGTTAAAGATAGGAAGGAATCTGTACATAAATTTTCTTTTGGTGAGGTGGGGTGTTCTGGGGGTCAAACCTAGGAGTGCTTTAGCACTCAGATAGATCACCAATCCTTTTCTCCTTTATTTTTAAATTTTGAGACAGAATCTCACTAAGTTGCTAAGGATGGCCTTGAACTTGAAGTTCTCCTGTTTTAGTGTCACGAGCTGCTAAGATTACAAGCATATATCACCATGCCTGGCTGAATATGTATATTTTAAAAAATTTAATTTGTTTTAATTAGTTACACATGACAGTAGAAAGCATTTATGCACTTTGATTTATCATACATTGATGGGATATAATTTCTCACTTTTCTGAGTGTACATGTTGCAGAATCATATTGGTCATGTAGTCTCTCTCTCACACACACACACATATTATATATACAGTACTAATGTCTATTTCATTCTACTATCTTTCCTATCCTCACATCCCCTCCCCTACCTTCCCATCACTTCCTTCTACTTAATCTAAGGTAAAGCTGTTCTTCCTTAGGGCTCCCCACCTTATTGTGAATTAGCATCTGCATATTAGGGAAAACATTTGACCTTTAGTTTTGTGGGAYTGGCTTATTTCTCTTAGCATGATATTCTCCAACTCCAACAACTTACTGGCAAATTCCATAATTTTACTCTTCTTTAAACCTGAATAATATTCCATTGAGTATATATACCACACTTTCTTTACCCATTCATCTGTTGAAGGATACCTAGGTTTGTTCCATAGTCTAGCTACTGTGAATTGAGCTGATATAAACATGTGTCACCATGCCTGGCTAAATATATATACATTTATAACAAAATGAGTAAATGAACTTCATTAGTATCAATATATGAAAGATTTCTACAAAATCTCCACGTTATTATTGTTTTCCCAGTAAAAGATAATGAGTTCATCTGAAGGCCAGTTCTATTTATCTGTTGGTGAAAACAGTGACACAAAGATATCCTGATTGCCAAAGGATACATGATTAAATTACTAGCAGAATTAGCCTAAGACAATGCTATCTCTATATAACATGCTTTATGATTGTTGATAAATTAAGAAAGGTAAACTTTTAAGAAATGGTATTAAAATACCCTACTACCTACTTATTACAGTGGTGTTTTATATGTTTTTTGTAGCCTTCATCTTGAAGTAGTTGCTCAGGATTATATTTTCGAAGCCATTCTGCTTTTTGTATATCGAATGAACTTGTCTGAGTCTTCACTTTTTTCCCTTTTCGACCCCTGGGTACAGGAGCTGATAGRCCTGTTAAAATGAGAAGTCCATGTGAAATCAGGAGAAATTTGTATGAAGTATAATATGAAATATTTTTTTCTAAGGACTGTGGTTGTGGCTCAGTAGTAGAATGCTTGCTTAGCATGCGTAAGGCACTGGGTTCGTTAACAATATTAACCCAGTCACAATATTAAAACAATTCCCACCCCCCAATTATCTAATAAATTCTGTATGTCTAATTAGAATGATCATTATAATTTACGTTTTGTTCCCAAACAGGTTGATTTTTTTCTACATGTGAAAAGGACAAGATCAAACTTATCCCTCTATTTTACTTTTGCTGCCTAGTTACTAAAAGATAGGATTGGCCTCTTGTCTTTCAAAAATTGATTTTACTAATAACATGGATTAGGTTGGCCATTGGGGGTTCCTGTTCAAGATAGATAAATTCATCATTTCTTGAGATTTTGTTGTACAGTATTTAAAAAAACAGTATCCCTACTCATCATCATCATTATTATCCTCATCATCATCACATAGTTCATATTTGTTTCTGAAGTCCTAACATAGACTTTTCTCATCCAATTCACTCACTCCCTTTTCCCAGAGATCATCAGTACCTTGAATTTGTTTTCTTGTTCCATGCCTGTTTATATAATTATTATATATGGATGAAGAAATGTTTAGCATAAAAGTATTTATTTAGTATTAAGGGCACTAAATTTCAGTAGTTAGTATTAAGGTTTATATTATGCATGTAATCCTACAATAAATCTCTATTTTAAAAGCTTATAGAATGAGATCTTAGCAAATCTCTTTTTTAAATCCCTATTTTCAGCTTCTTGCTTGGTGTCTAATAACATCTCTTTGAAGCTTAAAAACAGATATTTGTCCCCATCTGACAATTTTTATATTTTCACAGGGAGAGATATATATGGTGTGATTACATATATTTATTTTTACCACTTCATTGTTTTCATTCCCTCCTTTCTGTGTTGTTGCAGAACGATAAATAACTTTGTATTTCAATCCCTTATATTCTCACTGGTTTGGAAACTGAACAGTGCATATTTTAAACATATATACAAAATTTTCCTGATAAAATCTGTAGATATTCTAGATTTATAAATCTTCCCATTATTTTCTCAATTCCACCATTCAGTTCTTCAATTCCTGTAATTTACAGGTTTGTTTGTGCTCTCATTGTTTTTGTTAGCATTTTGTTCCTTCAAAACCACTGTATGGTATCTGAAATATCTTCACTAAAATTAATTATAGTTCAAAAATAAACTTTTCCCTTTCCTCCAAGTTGATTCTAATGGTTTAATTTTAGCCTCTATCTTTCATGTGAGAAACTATCTCTTATGTCTGATAATCTTTCATTATGTTGGCTTTTATTTAAGAATAACAGATTAAAAAGCGAATATGTAGTTTAAAAGTATTGAGCCTGTTGAATGTGAGATCACAGAAGAGCAAAGGACTGGAGTTTTGCCCTTAGATAATGGTCTAGCAAAGTTCAAAGTAAGGTGGTGATTTTCGTACTTGAGTACTGTATTACCAGTATCCAAATATTCACTCAATGCTTACTTACTAGCACCACATATTAACTACCAGTTCAACCCAAAGATCCTTATATTTTACTTTACCTAATGAATAAACTTCAATTTTCATCCTGCTATATGGAGTTGAAGAGGTTATCTGGAGATCTGTCTCTTTTTAAACAGCTTTTAGTTACAATCCCTGTCTTATCACATAACACTTCTAGAGGTGTCATATGCCCAAAATTCTCGAGACTTTTAAGAAATCTGTGAAGAAAACCAGTCCCCCCCCCCCACAGCTAAAATTAAGCTCTCTTTGGTTGGTTAAGTCAGGTATCACTAATCTATTTGCTTTCAACTTCTAAAACTTTGTTGATACTTTGTCCCTCACCCTCCTCTTTTCTCAGGGTTTATGCTCATTTTAAAATAATGTGGAACATAAGCATATACAAAAGTAGATGGAATATTATGATGAATCCCCGTGTGTTATCATCCAACTTTAATAATTATCAAAAATCCATGGCTATTTCATCTCTATTCTGTATACTACCCAAGTTCCCATACTATTTGAAGTAAATCTAAGATATTAACCATTTCACTCATAAACATATTAATGCCTCCTTAAAAAATGTCTATGGAAGGGCTGGTATTATGGCTCAGCGGCAGAACACATGCCTTGTATATATGAGGCACTGGGTTTGATCCTCAGCGCCACATAAAAATAAATAAACAAACAAACAAACAAATAAAGGTACTGTGTCCATATACAACTAAAAAAAATATTTTTAAAAAAGTCTACATAGGGGGCTGGGATTGTGGCTCAGCGAGAGGTAGAGCGCTCGCCTGGCACTGGTGGGACGGGGGTTCTATCCTCAGCACCACATAAAAAATAAAAGGCATTGTGTTGTGTCCATCTACACCTAAAAATAAATAAATAAATAAAACTCAAGTTTTAAAAAAAAGTCTACATAATAATTCCTTAATATTCAATATTTAAATGTTTAGTAATCTAATAAAGATAATACATTTTTTCTCTTGCTTATCTTAATCAGAATCCAAATAAAGTCACTAAAAGTCAATCTCTCTTTTAAATATTTTCTTTAGTTGTAGATGGACACAATACCTTTATTTAATTAATTTATTTTTTATGTGGTGTTGAGGTTAGAACCCAGTGCCTCACACATGTTAGGCAAGTGCTGTAGCTCTGAGCTACAACCTGAGCCTGACTCCAATCTCTTTTAGGTTATAGCAGGGTTCCACTCTCAGTATTATTATTCATGTTTTGGGCTAGACGGGTTGTTCATTGTGAGAAACTGTTTACCTCTAACCTCTACCACACTTGATGCAAGTAACATGCTTAAGTTGAGATTAGCTGTGGTGGAAGTGGGACTAGACTGAGTCATAAGATCATCTCTGGTTGAGAAGCACTAAAGCCTTGTTATTTTCTTCCTCATTTTATTTATTTATTTATCTATTTTGCTCTGGGGATTGAACTGAGGGGTATGTTACCACTGAGTTACATCTCCATTGTTTTGAGACAGGGTTTTGCTAAGTTGCCCAGTTCACAGTGGCCTTGAAATTTTGATGCACCAGCCTGGGCCTCCTGAGTAGTTGGGATAGCAGGCATGCACCAGAGTGCCTGGCTTTTTTTCCTATTTTATAAATGGAGTTTCAAAGAACAGTGAAATCTGTGTGTTTCCTCCATCCTTACTCAGAAGTCAGTGCTTCATATTAACTACATGTCTCTTATTAAGATGGGCTAATATAAACCATCCCATATAAAATATGTGCTTGCTTTTGTCCTCCATCTCAAGATTTGGTATATTTACTTAACAATATTTATCACAATCTACAATTATTTAGCTAATTTATCTACATTCTTACTATTTCTGTCTCCCTGGCTATAATGTAAGGTTTATGAGCTCAGGAGTCTTGTCTAATCTTACATCTTTTTATTTTTTTTCAGCACTCTGCAGAAGAAACATACAATAGGCGATCAATTAATTTTTTTTTATTAAACAGGACAAGATGGCATCACAAATTTAAGGCACAATAATTTTTTTTTTTTAAATAGAAAAGAACATTCTGTTAGCAACCTATGGACAAAAAAGTACTTGCATATTCCTCTGATATGGGTGTAAACTGGTTTAATCACATTGGAAAGCAAACTAAAGTATTTATGAAAATTTAAAATGAATACCAATGCTTTTCAAACTTTAATATGCATACAAATGGCTGAGGATCCCACTAAAAAGAAGATTCTGATTCAGTAAACCTAAGGCACTAAGACTTTGCAATTCTAAGATCTCAGGAGATGAGATGTTTTTGATCTAGAGACCACATTTAAAGTACTAAAGATATATGTTTGCTATACCTCAATAATTCTATTTTTGATATCTGCTTTACTGAAAGATTTATTCATATGCATAAGAAGGACTAAACAAAGCTGTTCACTGAAACTTATTTTTTAATTTTCTAAAAGTGGAAACCTATATATCCATCATTAAAGGAAATGCAAAACAAATTAAGAAATATACATACTATGGAATACTAAACAGAAAATAAAAACTGAGATGGATCAACATGAACACAAATGGAAAGATCTCTATATAAGTCAACAACTTGTAAACTGATACATATGTGACAACAATAAGTAAAATCCAAATATCTAACAAACTGGCATTTTCTGAAGTTGGAACTTTAAGGGTGAAGATGAAAGTTCCTTAATACCACCTGAATGATGTAATATTTTATAGGAGAATATGTTAAGCGTTACTTATTTAACAACAACAAAAACTTTTAAAGAAAACAAAAGAATGTTTTTACCTAGATGATTTTGTAACTCTCGTGTCTGCCCATCTTCAGTTGGAGTAATAAGATCCCATATGAAACCTTTAATTTTCTCATCTCCTCGGTAGTGAACAAGGCAATATGCCAAGAGAGCTCGACAAATTATTTCTACATCATGCTCATTTAACTGCCTTTTAAAACGTCCATGAGACAGAATCTCTCTCCATCGGCCCCACCTAGTTATAAAAGGTATATTTACATTGATATTAAGTAAAGTTCTAGAAAGAAACAACTTACAGATGAGGAGCAAGAGAAAAAAATCACACACACACAATCAAAACCAACAACACAACAAACAAAACAACTCTCTCATTAACAGACTTTGCTAATGATGTTGTCCTCCATGTATGAACAAAGAGGAATAGTGTGGTAATTTCTATTATATTTACTCAATAATGAAATATAACATTATCTACTTTGTATTACTAAATACGCAAATTGGAAAACAGGAGTTTGATGTGATAAATTTATAATTTAAACACTTAACCTATCTCCTCATTCTCCAATTGAATATTTGTTAAATACAGAAATCCTGGATATTTAAAAAATAGATTTTATTGATTTTAACAAGATAAAAATTACTGGAAAACAGTAATTTTCGCTAACTTTATATGACTACTTAAAAAAACATTAAAAATAATATTTTACCCATAAACTAGCAAGTTTTTCTCTACTCTGAAGCATTCAGTTCTTCCATAGCCATTGGAACGATCACAGGGTCTCCGTAGTTTGGGTTTTTCATCTCCTTCACTTTCAGCTTCAGATAATTCAGCCAATTCATCTTTTGTGGCACTAAAGGGTCTTGTTTGTTTCCTAATTCTTGGAGTGTCAATAACCAAGCTGTTCTGTAAAATTTAACAGCTATTACTTGAAGTTATTTTTAATACTTTTGCTTGTAATAATGTTTTAGATTTTCACCTTCCAAATTATACAAACAATAATTTTAGAAAGAAAAAAAAATTACTAATAAGTTCTGCCACTCTACCAATTCACCTTAAAAATATTTACATTCTTCTAAAATTTTTACCACATATGTACAATTTTGTAAAATTACAGTCAAAGGCTTAACATATTTTGGTATTCTGCTTTATTATTAATATAAAAATCACTGCACTTCTACAATAATCATAAAATAAATTTAGGCTAAATTTATGCCTCCTAATTTGTTTTAYCTAATTAATTCACAATTTGATTTAGACTTTTGATTTTTAACATAAATAATGCTAAAGTAAATATTTGTGATCTAAATTTATCCTAGAAATAAATCTGAAAGAAGGAAAATACATAACAATTGAAACACTGGTTAAAAGTTATAAATATTTTGTAGATTTAGAAATATGTTTTAGTAATCTCTAAGAATTATATTAATATTAAAAGGCAATATATGTATCATCCTCCCTATAGTCAATTTAGTTTAATTCATTCAAAATACATCTTCTACTTTTATTAAAAAACTTCTCTAAGTTAGGGAAACCATATTCTTGAGGGTCGGATAAATGTGTTAAAAAAAAATGCTGTTCAGAATGAACTGTACAAGAGGGTCTAAAGAAAGTCAGAGAAAACATCACAAAATAGTGATACCAGACTTTGCCAGGCAGGGAGGAAACAGCATTACAAGAGGAGGAAAGAACAAGGGGCCAGAAAAGGAATCACATATTTAGTCTAAGTCTGAATCATAGAGCAGAAGAGAATATAACTCATTTATGATTTTTAATAGTGATTTGTAAAGTTCACTGCTTCTTTAGCATATGAAAATGCCTCAGACTATAATATTTTTTCAAATTTACTTGCTTCACAAAATTATATATTTCAAAAACACATTAAGTATTAATGATTGTAAATGGCAGTGATGTTATTCATAACTGTTAAGCTTTACATGTTAAAAAACTACCTAAAGAAGATTCCATATGGGCTGGGGTTGTGGCTCAGCAGTAGAGCACTCGCTTCGTACTCACCAGACCCTGGGTTCGATCCTCAGCACCACATAAAAAAATAAACAAGTGAAATAAAGGTGTTGTGTCCAACTACAACTAAAAATAATTWAAAAAAAGATTCCATGTATCAATGTTTAATATGAAATTAATCATGAGGATGTTATTTTGAAAGTAAGTCAGGATTAGAAATATTAATTCCTATAAAATTATTGGACAGGTGTCTTAGAAGGTAGGCAGTTAATGCTATAATTATCATTTCCATTAATTTTATTTTAGCTTTCTGGCTCTGTCTTCCTAGAGAAGTCATAAAAGAAAGAGTTAATAAATGTCACTTCTTGACTGCTTTTTTTACTGGATCATTAATGGGTTGACATCAAAAAAACAAAAAGGAGAAAAGTAATTTATGAATTTAAGAGATATAAAAAGGATTAAATTAAAGCAATGTCTAACTCATTCTCCTACCTCATTTCAATTTATGTGTGCAGAGATTTTTATTAGTTACCTTTACAACTGAATACCTTTAAGATACTATTATGTTATTGCCAAAGTCTCTCAAAACAAAATTACCTTTCGAGGGAAACAAATACTTACTCTGCCACTGATGGCATCAATATCTATTTCTGCTTTTTTAGCCCATTTTTGCCAGAAATTGGGATCATCTAAGGAAATATCTGTCCGGTTTCCAGATGCCACAAAACTTGCCTGAAATATATAATGGCAATTTTTTCAAGTCATTATGAAGTTRAAAGGGAAAATCTATAAAAGTACACTTAAAATATTATCTCCTCACATTTACTGTGGATAGAATTTGAATTCAGTATACACACTCAGACTCAAAGAATGTTTCAAATCCAGTGGTCTGAAATATAACACAGCATTTGTTTAAAGCAAAGGCTTGATGCCAACACAGGTTAGAGTTTATGAGCAGAGTTAAATAAGTTACTACTATTGGTTAACTCTTAATCTTTGTAAGCAAGGAAACTGCATAGGACAGATATACATAAACATTAAGAAATTAAGGTACAAAAGAGTTAGAAAAATCTACCTACACAATATAGTTCATTTTCTGGTACCATACTTTATATCCATCACGTTTTCAAATATGTATTATCTCCTGAAAAAATGCAACATAATATATGGAAAATAAAAATGAATATTGACTATCTTTATTTTTAAAATTCTTTTCCAGTGGCTGCAGATGCAGGTTGGTGGTAGAATGCTTTCAAACCATGTTCAAGGTCCTGGGTTTTATTACTAGCACCATTAAAAAAAAAAAAAAGAAAGAAAGAAAGAAAAGAGAAAAAAGATACTTTCCTTACTATAAATATACTGTATAAATGTTGTAAATATTTAAGAAAATACAGAACAAAAGAAAATAAAATATTTTACTTGGAAGAAACGTTAGTACATTTCAACTCTATAGTTTGTGGATTAATAACCATTATTTATAATTTAAGATATTGAAAACAAAAATGCCATGTTAAAAAAAATCATCAAACAGTTTTATAAAAAAAAATAAAGAAGAAATAGATACATGATGCTTTAGGCAAGAAAAGGGAYGGAAAAAATCATGCCAAATCTTATACAAATAAATAGAAGAATATTTTTTAAAAAATATTTATTTTTAGTTGTATTTGAACACAATACCTTTATTTTATTTATTTTTTTTATGTGGTACCGAAGATCAAACCCAGGCCCTTGCACAGGCTAGGTGAACTTTCTACCGCTGAGACACTACCCGGGTCCCAATAGAAGAATATTTTACATTAAAAAGATTTTTAAAGGTGAACCTAAGAGGTAAATTAAAATACTGCCTAATTACTGGAATGTAATTGAGGATCTTAAATCTTCATTTAAAAAAACATTTTGATAGAATTTTAAAATGTTGTAAAACCATACATTAAAAGAGAATAAAACTTAAAAACAAGCCAATTACAACACTCAAGATAACTGAAGGTTGAACACAAGATAATAAACATCAAGGAATTATATCTAATTTTATTTTTAAATGTTATCATATTGTAGTTATGTTTTTAAAAAGTCTATCTTTAGTAATACTATGGAAACATGTATAAAGTGATGATATGAGAGCTGAGCTGAGATTTGCATCAAAATAATATGAAAGATGGGTGGGTAGTAATGAAACAGTTTAGTATGAGTTGATAATGTTCAAGGTGGATGATGAGTACACATCTTTCATCATGATATTCTGTCTGTATTTGTAGTTTAAAACTTTATAAAATGATCACAAAATGAATAGGAACAAAATTGAAATATTAAATACCTCTGTTTGAAGTTTGAATCTTAAAGATTCAATTCTAGTCATTGCTTACCAAGTAATAAGTACATTCATTCATTCCACCTAGCTTTCCTCTGAAATTGGGCTTTTAAGGTGTTTGTATAAAGTGTTAAATATTATAAGTGTTTAAAAATGTCTTTTCCTGGCATATTTATATGAAATTGAAGTGACAGTAATAAATGCTTTAATGAAATGAATTTAAATTCCTTTTTTCTTTTTTGCTTCCTCTAACCTACAGAGTAAATATTATAAAACTTTTTTAAAAATTATATATATTTTTTTACTTGTTTGAAATGATGAATGTGGTAGATTGGATTATGACTCCTGAAGATATATTGTCCTAATCCCTAGAATGTTGTATTGTCTTATATGGTAAAAGTGAGTTGGCAGTTATGATGTAGGATCTTGAAATGGGATATTAGCTTATCCATGTGGCTGCTAAATGTCATTACAAGTGCCCTTACAAGAAGGAGGCAGAGGAAGATTTGTCTATAAAAAGAGGAAAAGGATATGACACAACAGAAGCAGAGATTGGAGTACTGTGGCCACAAGCCAAGGAATGCAGACATTCTTAGGAACTGGAAGAGATAAGAGATTCTCCCCTGGAGCCTCCAGAATGAACCAGCCTTGCTGACTCTTGATTTTAACCCTGGCAGACTGATGTTGGACTTCTGACATCCAGAACTATAAGAGAATAAATGTGTATTGTTTTAAGCCACTAAATTTGCAGGAAATTTTTACAGTGGCAATAGGAGATAATACAATGAGACACCTATTAATAATAAGCCACATATTAAAAACTCATATCCAACCTGAAATAACAAAGGCTAACTAGCTTGATGAAACCAAATGAAGAAAGCCATCATTATCTATATAAAAGAAAGAACAGATTGAGTATCCCATAAGCAAAATGTCTGGGATTACTTCTATTCAGATTTCAGATTTTACACATTCATTTATGCAACATTTGCTTAGACTTTACTGGTTGAGTATTTCTAATCCAAAAATCTCAAACTGGAAATGTTCCAAATCCAAAACTTTTTAGGTATTGTGTTGATACTCAATTTTGGAGCACTTTAGATTTTGGATATTCAGAATACAGATGCTTAACTTATTTAAGATAACATTTCATCAAACTGGCATATGAATAAGTACAATGGACAGATATCTAATAATGTGCTAGTAAGTCCTAAATTATACGGGACTTCACTTTGACTCAGAAACAAATTTCTTGCCAAGCTTTATGGAGCACAGCAGTACTCCCAGCTACTTGTGAGGCTGAGGCAGGAGAAGTCCAAGTTCCAGGCCATCCTGGGTAACTTTGTGAGACTTTGTCTCAAAATAATCTTTTTAAAAATATATATACATATATTTTAGTTGTCAACAGATCTTTTTTGTTTTATTAATTTATTTATATGCAGTGTAGAGGATCAAACCCAGGGCTTCACACATGCTGGCAAGTGCTCTACCACTGAGCCACAACTCCAGCACCTTCAAAATAAAATTTAAGGGTTGGGGATGTACTTCAGTGGTAGAGTGCTTGTCTAGCTTCTGCAAGGCCCTGGGTTCAATTCCCAGTACTGGGGAAGGAAGACAGACAGAAAAAAAAAAATGAATTTCTTACAACCAAGGACATATGATATTTTCAAATCTTCACTGATACAAATTTAACAATTTTTAGAAACTGTGAAAAGTTCACTGAACAGAGTTCACAGGGCTTTATTTTGAATTCTAGTTCACTGATACATGTACCTTGAGATTGGCCCCAGGCCCTAGTAGTAGGGGTAAACTGATGGCAATCTACCACTGATTGTCCCATCCCTTTTTAATTTTTTATTTGAGACAGGGTCTTGTTAAGTTGCCAAAGCTAGCTTCAATCTTGTGATTCTCCTGCCTCAAATTCCCCAGCAACTGGGATTATAGGAATAAACGTCTGTACCCAGCTTGCCCCTTAAGATTGAAATCAATCTAGTAAATGCCTATGTTTTATATATATTGGAGAACACTCAACATGCCATAAATTCCAAAAGACATTGAATGAAAACAGATTTTTAAACGCTGTAGTAGATAATCATTTTTATTCTGATACCACATAACTGTTGAAAATTAAAACAATTTGCCAAGAATTTCATAATTAAATAGCTTTGGTTACATTCATTATAACAAATTTTTATTTTTCAAACAAAATTTTCTAAAGTACCTAAATAATTCAAGATGATATTATGAACTGACAGATAACCTAATTTCAAGATAATTTATATGATTCTCAAGGATTATGACAATGGAATAATGGCTATGGAAATGAAAAGCCCATGTGGAAGATGTGATGCAGTCCCGGTTCATGCAATTCAAACTTTTTTTCCATACCAAATTTTAAAAATTCACAGCAGCCTGGGAATGCAGCTCAGTGTTAGAGCACTGGTCTATTATGTGCAAGATAACAACAACAACAACAACAAAAAATCGGATAACAATAAACTACTCTATTTCTAGGACAAACCTGATGTCCTTACGAAAACCTCTCAGAACAAGGTTTAGATGATAGCTACTTATACATGAAGTTACGAATAATGAGTTCTATTTGATAGTTATGTACAAAGCATAAATATTCTTATTTTTGAAATGGGGACTTCCTATGTTGCTCAGGCTGGCCTTGAACTTGGATCCTTTTGCCACAGACATCTAGAGTAGCTGGGATTACAGGCATGCAAAACCGTATTTGGCTTGGTCTAAGTATTCTTAAAAGCAGTGTGCGTGAGCTGGGGATGTGGCTCAAGCGGTAGCACGCTCCCTGGCATGCGTGTGGCGCGGGTTCGATCCTCAGCACCACATACAAACGAAGATGTTGTGTTTGCCAAAAACTAAAAAATAAATATTAAAAAGTTCTCTCTCCCTTAAAAAAAAAAAAAAAGTAGTGTGCTCTATTTATGTAGCTCCTTTTCAAATTCTATTTGATAATGCAAATAAATGAATACCTTATTTGTCCAAACCTTTGAAAAAAAACTATATATAGCAAAAGTCTTTGAAAATTCTAGGAAAAAGTATAAAATACTACCAACAAGGAAGTACCACATTCCATTCTGCCAAATGTCCACTATTTATTACCATTCCCATACATCTAATGGCACTGGCCTAATTATTTAGKAAATAAACAAATTATAAAAAAATTCTCTGGACTCTTGTCAGCTATTTTGTGAGCTTTTTCTCAAAATCTAACAGTTACTTACTTTCTGAGCTGAGACTTTAACATAGTTAAGTATTTCTTATTCTAAGAGTATATCTGATTATGAGTAGTGTATATCTGAATTATCTAAGTAATACTTTCACAGTATTTTATAGTAGAGAAGGCTAAGTATGATGATTATGATCTCTTTAAACTCTAGAAAGACTCAGAGGTTAAGTTAATTGTCCAAGGTCACTCAGTTTATAAGTCAGAATTGAAACACTGTTGTTTTGACTTCCATGATTATTATCATTAACATTTAAAATGAGGAAGCCTAGACTTATATGTGGTCATTATATGCTTTTTTGTATACGTTCATTAAAAAAATATTAAGGAAAAAATCTCTCTATGCTTAGCCTAATCAATAAAGATGACAATTAAAACTAATAATACCTTTGGTATTAACTGGATTTCACTGAATTTTACACATAAGAAAAAAAATCTGTATAACTAGGACTGGTGTTACATGCCTACAATCTTAGTTATTTGGGAGGCTAGGGCAGGAGGATCCAAATTCCAAGTTAGGCTGGGAAATTTGGCTGAGACCGACCCATCTTAAAATAAGAAAATAAAAATAAGGTCTGGGAATGTAGCTCAGTGGTAGAATGCCCTGCCCTGGATTCAATCCCCTGACCCATGACGCAAAGGAATAAAAGTAAACAAGATTTCCCATGAAAGACATTAAAGCTAGCCATCATGACCACTTTTATTTAAAACCTTATACTGAATCATTATTTCTTTTGGTTCTATGATACTACTATCTACTTGTACTACTATTTATTTTCTATTAACTATTAACTTTCCCAATTTTTTACCTGTATCACAACCAATTATCCTGGATGCCCTATAAATGTTGCAAGCAAAGGCTCCAATATTTTATTTTCCCCATATGAACTTCTTTCTGCATTCTTCATGTTTTATAACAATATGACCCTACTAGCTACAAGTCAGAATTGTCAGTCATTTTGATAACCTGTTCTACAAATTTCTAGTTGGTCATCAACTCCTACTGATGTAAATGGATCTCTACTCTCCTAGCTCATACATCATTATTTGCTAAACATATTTCTTTAAGATCTACCTGCCTCTGGACTTTCTCCTTTCCAACTTGTTTTCCACATTGCTGCTAGAGTTAAATTTTGAAACTTGATTGCATGTGACTATTGTCTGGTTAAGGAGCTTTTTAAAAAAAAGCTGAACTGCCTTCCAAATGACACATAAATTTCTTTACAAATTGGATCCAACTTCCCAAACTTCTTCACTTTCAACTCCATCTAATTCATTCCATGCCATATTCTGAAACCTTCTCTGTACATTAGCAATGTATAATTCAGTTATGAGRATTTCTCTCTCTTTTACAAACACAATGTAATTCACAATTTTGTCAAGCTTCAACTAAGGCTTTCCTTACTCTCTGCTCTCCTATTGAACACAATGAAACAATTTCTTATTTTATTTTTTCCAGCAACTATAGTCCTTTCATTTTTAGTATAGTATTTAGGAGGGTACCTGACATAAGATTTCATTGGCCTATGAATGAATGCAAGCAATTTCTATTTGAAGAATGATATCATTACTTTTAGTGAAGCACATTAAAGGCTACTATAACAAAGGGATTCCCCATAAAGACAAAGATTTCTGGGTGAGAAGCAAAATGGGGATGAGAATGGGGATGGGGACGAAGGAAAACGTAGAAAAGAAGATGAAAGAAGAAAATTTGTATGAATCAGTACAGATGATAAAGAGTACTGTGATTAAAAAAACACTTCAGATGAATGAAAAACATAGGTTTAACATGTCTTTGTTGAAAAGAAAAGAAACTAGGAAAGAATAAAACATAAAATATGTGAAGAATATTAGTAAACTGAAATTTTTTCCTACAAATTAAACATATTAATTCTTCTTTTAAAGAAAGAAACTTCATTTTATTCTCCCAAAATTAGATTTTAGTATTTAAAAGGAAATAGGAATTCTTTCCTCTCCTTTAGGTTCTTTTAATTATTAAGGTTAATATAAGCTGATTTAACCTCCTACATTATTACTTATATTTTGCTGTCACTGGTATATATTTTTTAGTTTCTAAAGTTTTTTGATTTCAAATGTCCTATTCTGAATAATATGCAAAAGTAGTTGCAAGTATTACAATTTGGCTCCGAAGAGTTTGTGTGAAATTTTATGTAAGATCAGAAAAACTGAAGGAAAGGGATAGATTATTTATAACTTTGAGATAACTCAGTATATTTACAGATTTTGAATAAGAGACATTAAAAATTTTCAGTAAGAGACACAAACATCATTGCTTATGTTTAAAAAATATAGTACTCACTGTTACCTTGGCAAATGTTGACCCACGTCCTTCTGATTCAATTGTAATTGTTTTTGTACGACGCAGTAAAATCTGATCTATATCCTCTTCACAGAATTTAGAGCCTTCATCTTCTTCTTCCATAATGGCACCATAAGCACCTCTTCGAAGCAGGTCTTCTATTTCCTTTTTAGAAAGCTGTTGAATCTAAAAGGAAAAGAATTCTGGTAATAACTGTATTTTTAAAGTTATAGAATGCAAAAGTATCCCTAAAGAATGTCAAAATTGTGAGAAGATATGTTTAACTTGCATTTGGGTTGGGATGCAAATGAGAGAGAATTCATGGAAAGAATATATGTAAGTTATTGAATCTTAAAGCTTTGTTTTAAAATAATAATTACCTCCAATTTCAAAAGGGTGCAATTAAATCAAAGTTTAAGGGACAAGTAAACTCTCAAGGTTCTTTTTAGTACTGATTTTTAAAATTTTCATTTATTTATTTTTTTGGTACTGGAAATAGAACTCAGGGGCACATAACCAACTGAGACATATCCTCAGTCCTTTTTTGTACTTTATTTAGAGACAAGATCTCACTGAGTGACTTAGCACATCACCTTTGCTGAGGCTGGCTTTGAACTCACAATCCCCCTGCCTCAGCCTCCCAAGCCAATGGTACTAATATTTTATATTAGACAAAATTCTTTTTAAAAAATATTTTAGTTGAAAATAGATCTTTACCTAATTTATTTATTTATACGMAGTACTGAGAATAGAACTGAGAGCCTCACACATGCTAGGCAAGCATTCTACCACTGAGCCACAACCCATTACTTATAGCAAGATGAAGGTAAAGCTAGAAGTTTGAAATTTAAAAATTTTTGAAAAACTTCACATAAGTAACACAGAAAATTTCACAAATTCTAGTTTGCTATGCCATCATACAAACATCCTAAAAAGGGATGACTTTTTTTTTTTTTTTGTACCAAGATTGAACGCAGGGATACTTAATTACTGAGTCATATCCCCAGCCTTTTTTATTTTTTATATTTTGAAACATGATCTCATTAAGTTGATGAGGGCCTCATTAAATTGCTGGAGGCTGGCTTTGAATTTGTGATCCTCCTGCCTCAGCCTCCCAAGCTGCTGAGAGTATGGGCATTCACCACTGCACCCTGCAGAAATCAGAACATTTTTATCTTGAAGACAGATTCTTAGAATTCATAAGCTTTGAAGCTATATAAACAGACCAAAAAGGACTTCAAAGTATTAACTAAACATAGCTCTATTCTGGAAGCCTGTTAGTGGTCCTTGTGGACCAAAACTGATAGATACACTACTTGAGGTAAACCTAAATACAAACAAAATTAACACAAAATCTTGAAGTGAAAAAATATATATACATACACCACCAACATTACTTTCTCTTCCACTCATGCTCTGTAACACAGCTTTATCTAGGCCCAATTTCAGACTGGCTCGGTCAAACATTTCTCTCTCATATGAATTACGAGTAACTAATCTGTAGACTTTAACTGCTTTGTTCTGACCAATTCTGTGGCAACGAGCTTGGGCCTATAAAAAAATGAAAAGTTACAGATTCAATTTTCTTCACAAAACAGTCTACCAAATATATAGAATATAAAAATAGAAGATAATTTTTAGAGACATTAGCTACTAAACTAACTTTATAGAAATAAACACAACTTTATAGAATGAAAAATAATCCCACAATCATCATTAATATTTAAGATTATACTACAAAGAATATAAATAAATCCATGGGGAATTACTGTGTTTTCATGGGGGTATAGTTAAGCACCCCTAATTTGGAAAAATAAAATGCTCCAAAATCTGGTACTTTTTGACAATCAATCAAATGTGACAGGGGAAAATTTCACACCTGACCTAATAGACATATCAATAAAAAATTCAGGCACACTAAATTACTCTATTAGATTATCCTCAAGGTATCTTTGGAACATTAATGAATTTTGTGTTTAGACTTAGGGATTCAAGATATCTCATTAGAAATATGCAAATATTCCAAAATCCAAAAATATCTAAAACCCAAAACACTCTGGTCTCAAGCATTTTCAATAAGAAATACTCAATCTGTAATTCTAGAAATGAACACAAAACATACAAATGGAAATTTTCATTATTGGCAACTCAAACTTTAAAGCTTTCAAGTCTAACCCTAAATATTCCTAATTTTTTTCTACTATGTAATTAACAATCTTTTCTAAATATTTATGTGTAAGCTGGATAACTCTGGAGATCTAAATTTTATTTTATGGAAGAACTGATTAATATGTTCACATTAGAAAAAGTGAAGATATCAAAGGTTATATAGGAGCTTCATATTTTATCTTGAATTACTACTAAATTTAAAAGTTTGCATGATAAGTCTAGACTCCAAAAGTTCTACAGAATCTATATAGTCTCTCTTAAATATTAATACATTCCAATTATACTCAGATTAAATGAAAAACTGTGGTTTGAACATTTATAAGTATTAATATCTATGTCATTTTTTGACAACATTATCCTGTCCATATCCAGTTTGTACCATTTGGAACTCAGAATTATAAATGGGCAACTTTATTCTAGTACTATGTAAAGTATATAAGATATCAAAACTTTCTATTAGTTTACAAAGACTAGATCTATAATAGTGGAAAATGAGAAAAAACAAGTGAGAGGTAGAAATTGAGGAAGTTGGTACAGATTTTCCAGTTCCTCCTAAGGTTCGATGATATGATGTTATTATTTTAACTTTACTATCACATGAATTGAAGGCAGTTTTAACTATAAATATAAATTGTAAAGGCAAATAATCATGATTTGAATTCAATTTAGGGATTGGCCAATACAGCCTGTAGAAAACATCTGGCCTGGCCACTAAGAATGGCTTTTGCGTATTTTAAGGCATGTGAAAAAAACAAAGAATGTGAGACAGAGATCTTATATGGTCCATAAACCTGAAAATATTTATTAATTGACCTTCTGCAGGAAGAATGTGCCCTGGTTTAATCTGTATTAATGTTGGATAACCACATGATATCTTGAACTGAATTATATAGTTACATAAATGAGCAATGTAAACCTTATATTCTATTGAGCCAGGTATGTCAATAACTATCATATTTGATTTTATATACAAAGTCACAACATAAATTGCAATATAATTAAGACTATCCTGAACAATAAGGAATTTCTCTTATCATTTGTTCTCATCTCATATTCCTCCTAAATGCTTGCTTATCCTCTGCAAATTTTAAGCCATTTTGACCACTCTAGTTAAAATTCTTGTTACGAGTCATAACATATGTATACCTTCATTTTTCTACAGTCTTTTATAAAAAGGAACATTATTCTATTCCTCTATTTTATACATACTTTATGATGAATAGATAATATAAAGACAAATAGTTATTTTTATTGAACTAAAGTCCTGAAATTTTAATTTTCCAAAATTTTGCAAATTTTCCAAAATTCTATGTTATTTATTACAAGTAAGATATCTATTTAAGGTCTTTCAAATTTATACAACTTCTGTATTTTTGGCAGTACTAGGGATTGAACCCAGGGACGTGTATATGCTAGACAAGTGATCCACCACTAAAGTATATCCCTGACCCTATATTTTGTAGAATTGAAAATACTGTATTCAACTCAGCATACTTTTTTATAAGTTGGTGAGACAAAAAAATCATGAAATAAAAATTAAAATAATTTCACTTATTTTCTGTGGCAGATATTTCTTAGGAAAACATACAATATTAGTCTGTTGGATAAAAACAAAAGATGTGGATTGCTAAAAATACAATTATACGAATTTTTAAATAATTATTCTTCTTGTTAGCCAAGGAATTTATTACCTGAAGGTCATTTTGAGGGTTCCAATCAGAATCAAAAATTATACATGTATCAGCTGCAGTTAAATTAATGCCCAACCCACCAGCTCGGGTACACAGAAGAAAAACAAATCGATCTGAATCAGGTTTACTAAATCGATCTATAGCAGCTTGTCGAAGATTCCCTCTGACTCTTCCATCGATTCGCTCATATAAATATCTATCAAATGAAATGGACTAAATTTAGATAGATGAATATAATGAAAAGGATGACACATTCTATTAAAGATAAAGTCAGTTTTCTTGTAAAATTATGTTATTTATACATTAAAAAGATCATCCCAATTAGTTTCTATGGCTTTATACTTCTTGCTGAGAAGCACAGTGTTAAGGAGGAAACAAAAACTAATATAAAGATTCAAATGTCTGCATTCCTGAATATGCACATAAAACAGCATTACAATAAATACCATTTTGAAAAGTTATAATAACAAAAGACAGTTCATGAAAACTACATTACTGTTCACATCACCATAAATTGCTTTTTTACAAGTAATGACAGTTCACCCAACTATCCAATATACCTAGGACTTTTTTTTTTTTGGTCAAAATTCTATGTTTCTTTATCAACGGATATACTTACTTATACACTATATAATCTATTCATAATAGATTATATATTGTATAAGTAGGAGTTGAGTTATATAGCAGAATGTTGTAGGAGTTTTTACAGTCATTACTTTAAAGCAATGATCTTTTAACTTCTTTTATCCTTCCCCATTTAATATACAAAACTCAAAAAACTGCAATACATTAATAAGAACAAAATACATAAAAATTTAAGAGCTATGAAATCAATGGGCATATGTGTGACATTTGCCACTCTTCTCTAATATGAGACAGTTCTTTCCCTATACAATTTCCTAGAGTTTTAGCAGCAGCTCCACTATTACCTCTAATACCTGCAAATTGGGGTGTGACTTCTAATAACATTATTTATGATGATAATGAAATATAGGGTTRTCCATTAAATTCATCATAATGCAAATTTATATGTACAAATTTATCTCTGTACAAAGTTCACTGTGTAAGAAAATCAACAATATAAGAATAGTTGGTTTTAGGAATATTGTAATTTAATGTTCTTATAATTACATGGTCTAAAATTGAGAGCAATATATATTTTGGAATAAGGCTACAGAAATGAAAACTGACGAAAATAGAACTAAAAGGAGGAGATATAGCTCAGCTGTAAAGTGCAGTGCATGCTTACTATGCAAAGAGGTCCAGGGTTGGATCCCCAGCACAGGAAAAAAAAAAAAGAAAAAGAAAAAGAAAAGAAAGAAAGGAAGAAAGGAAGGAAGGAAGGAAGGAAAGAAAACTAGAAACGAAAGATAAAATTGACAATAAACTATGAACTACATGATCTCTGATAATATAAACCAGTGTTGATCTTTACTAATATATAAAGGTGTTAGGAGCCACAGCAAAAATATTGATATAGGCACCTTTGGATTTAATGACTGCCAGCCAGCAATTCACATTCATATGGTAATTGGACTCATGCTGTTCAGCTGGGCCCATTTCTAGACTCAGGTTACTCATGTCACTCTTGTAATGGGAGAGTTCCCATTGGTTGGAAAAGGATGGTAGGAGGGTGTTCCGGGG